ATCCAAGGGTTTGCAATTTTATAATGGAAAATGAAGACAATATACTAACAAGAACGACAACAATAAAACTCATTAGCATATTAATTTGCATATTTGCCGGGAGATTAGAACGTTTACGGCTCACTGATATCAGTGTTTAAAATATTCGGAATAATTCAAACGACGTCACACGATGTAATAATTAACTGGAAAATTGGAAACGTTAATATAAAACCAGAACAGCAGGCATCCACTTTTAATAGATATCTTCGACAAGAACTCCTCTTGAAGCATAGAAATGGCGTTAAAAATTATCTTTTATGTTTTAACTTTGTTCATTCTGGACGCTTATGCTTTTTCAAACAAGTAAGTCTCTGATTTATCAAATGTTTAAGGGCTAATATCGATTTGTAACACAGCTGTGTATAAAATGTCACATTTATATAAATAAATATAAAGTATGCTGTATGTTTGCGTGGTATACTGCAACTTTTCGTTGTATTTTGCATCGAATAGTTTATACATCTATCGTTAGCTCTTTCCAAAAGAAAATTATGTGGTTTGTTTTTCAATATGCAGAGTTTTAGGTTGATAAATTTGATATATTGGGTTCAGCAATCGAAAAATTAACGTAGCAATTAATATATATTCGTATTATGAATATTTGATGGCTTTGGTATATTAAAATTTGACATTGTTACTACTGTAATAAGAGCTTTGGTTAAGAGCCAGAAATTTTGCTTTTGTAAGAAATTTTGCTTTTGTACTGTAAGTTCATATACTTGACTATTAGCCTGTTACTTGTGAACCAATATCAATAATTATAGTTGTTAAGTAATGTCGTCTAGTGTTTAGCGAGCAATCCGGCAATGCAAGTTCGCACTGCTTGTTCCCAGTTGTTGACAAGTCTGGAACAAGTTGTTATCATCTTGTAACAAGGTTGACGAGGCCAACAGACTCGCAACAAGTTGTTCCAACAACGTCTAGAATATTGTCTGTATGTAACAGGTTGATTAATACAACAAGCTGACGACAACAAGTTTGTAGCAACTTGTTACAAACAGCCTGTTTTAATCTTATTGGAACAACTTGTAGCAAGTCTGTTACCATCATCAACCTTGTAACATGGTGATAACAACTTGTTTTGGAGTGCAAACACATCCTGATATTGGCTTGACAACAACCTTGTTACAACTTACTGTATTTACACCTGTATATTGGCTCCTAGCTCCACCAGAGTATAAGTCAGGCCAATTGCAGTGCTTTGACCCACTAAGCTGTGATCATGTGCCCGAATACATGCAACTATCATTTTACTCTAATGCCAGGCAATTTCACTCCCCAATTAGGGGTGAGTTAATTTCTGCATTAATGGTTAGCCCATTGAACACCTTAAAGATGCTGTAAAGTCCGTTTTGCGCATATATTCTGCACGTCAACACATTCCATCAGCGGGGGAGCAACCTTTGGAATGTTGTTAATATTTTGCACCTTCCGAACTTTCTTGAATTGAATCTCTAGTCTGTATTCATTTACAAGCTTAGCGAACCGAAAGAGTGTTAAAAATTCAGTATAATATATATCTAATCATATTTTACAACTGTACTACTGTAACACTGATTTCAAAATGTAAACAAAGCGTTCGTTTACATTACAGACTTTACATCACCTTTAAAAACAAGTAAAACTAGAGGGCACTCAGAGACTGCATACCTCCGCCCGTTACTCGGAAGTGAAAGGCAACCTTGGAATTTCCTAAGAAATCCACTTTACAATTCTTAAGCATAAAAGATTTCAGGGCCCCGCGAATTGAAATCGAATTGCTAATAGAACATATTACTGTTGTTGTGCTGTACAGTACTTGTAAAATAAAAACTTATTAAGTGTCATTAAATAAATGCATAAATTTTGCTTTATGCACTCGCGCGTGCAGTAATTTTCACAGTTGTGCTATTTTAAATTCCAGGCAGCTAAAATCTTTTGTCTTTAAAACAATGTCGATTTCTTGGGAAATTCCGAGGTTGCGTTCTTTTTATACACCCTGTATTGAAGTAATCTAATGTTGTTAGAATTTGAATGGACTGGCACTTTGCTGAACGTAATAATGCGTAACTCCGAAAGCCTTGTTTTAGACATTGAATTTCGGTCGCGTGAAATGCAACTAAGACAATAGATAATGAAGGCCGAAGCTTAATGAGGTTTATCATCTCATTATTGTCTTAGCACTGAGTGCATAAATTATACACGTCCTAATTACGCATTCAGTAATATTTTTTGTTAATTGACCGGGAAAAGCAAGACAAAATTTTGTTCATTTCTCGTTCAATTTTTAGCCAAATTCAACCAAATTTTAATCAGTTCTTCCTTAGCCGATGGGAAATGCATTCAAAAAATTTCGTACGGATATGTTTGGTATTTCTTGAGTTATCGTGCTCACAGACAAACACACACACATACACACACACACACATACACACACACACACATACACACACACATACACACACACACACACACATACAAACCCAGATGATTACATAACCTCCTGGCGGAGGTAATCATGCTTTCCATTTATTGGGTTAAACAAAATGTATGATATAGAATGCTAAAATGCTTAGAACTCTCAAACTGAAGTGTTTTATATATTTTTTTAGTTCGTACTTGATCACAGTTCCGGCAACATTTCGTCCAGGAATGGCTGTCAACATGAACATCCTTATTCTCCGAGCAAAGCCTCCCGATGCTGCTGTGACAGTCAATGCAACATTCTTGATTGATTCTAAACGAATTACAACTGCCTCTGGACAATTTTATGCAGGTTTGCAGTCAGCATTGATTTTACAAAGGTTGGAGTTATGGTTTAATATTGTTGATTATTTGTTGTACCTCTTAATTGTTAATGGTCAGTGGTTAATATTAAGAATTGTTAATAGTTACTGTAATAATCTTAATCTTGATATATCAATTAATTATCAGCTGTATGATTTCCTAAAAGTTCATATTTTCTCATCTTTTCTTTTTGGCAATATAGGGCAGACAGGTTCACTTCAGCTTCAAGTGAGTTCATTGAATTTCTAGTCAGTTGATCAGTTGGTTGCTGATTGTTGGTCGTTCGGTTATTCAGTCAGTGTGTTGTTGGTTGGTTGGTCCATCAGTTGGGTGTTGCTTTTTCAGTCTGTCAGTTCACTGTTGGTTGTCAGTTCACAGTTGGTTGTCAGTTCACAGTTGGTTGTCAGTTCACAGTTGGTTGTCAGTCTGTCAGTTATGTTGGTCTGTCGGCTAGTTAGTCCATCAGTCAGTTGTTTATTGACCAGTCAGTCTATCAGCCAGTTGTTCATTGGTCAGTACATCAGTCGGTTATTGCTTGGTCGGTTGGTCAGCCCATCAGTCGGTTGGTCGGTCGGTTGGTCAGTCTATCAGTTGGTTGGTCTGTCAATCGGTCGGTCAGTCCATCAGTCGGTTGTTGGTTGTTCGGTTGGTCAGTCCATCAGTCGGTTGTTGGTTGTTCGATTGGTCAGTCCATCAGTCAGTTGTTTGTTTGTTCGGTTGGTCAGTCCATCAGTTGGTTGTTGGTTGTTCGGTTGGTTAGTCCATCAGTCGGTAGTTGGTTGGTCGGTTGGTCAGTCCATCAGTCGGTTGGTCTGTCAATCGGTCGGTCAGTCCATCAGTCGGTCCATCCATCAGTCGTTTGTTGGTTGTTCGGTTGTTCAGTCCATCAGTCGGTTGTTGGTTGTTCGGTTGGTCAGTCCATCAGTCGGTTGTTCGGTTGATCAGTCCATCAGTCGGTTGTTGGTTGTTCGGTTGGTCAGTCCATCAGTCGGTGGTTGGTTGGTCGGTCGGTCAGTCCATCAGTCGGTTGTTGGTTGGTTGGTTGGTTGGTCAGTCCATCAGTCGGTTGGTCACTTGGTCAGTCCATCAGTCAGTTGTTGATTGGTCGGTTGGTCAGTCCATCAGTCGGTTGTTGGTTGTTCGGTTGGTCAGTCCATCAGTCGGTTGTTGGTTGGTCGGTTGGTCAGTCCATCAGTCGGTTGTTGGTTGTTCGGTTGGTCAGTCCATCAGTCGGTTGTTGGTTGGTCAGTTGGTCAGTCCATCAGTCGGTTGTTGGTTGTTCTGTTGGTCAGTTAGTTGTTGGTTGGTCAGTTGGTCAGTCCATCAGTCAGTTGTTGGTTGGTCGGTTGGTTGGTCAGTCCATCAGTTGGTTGTTGGTTGGTCGGTTGGTCAGTCCATCAGTCGGTTGGTCAGTCCATCAGTCAGTTGTTGGTCATTCCATCCATCATTTGGGTGTTGGTCATTCAGTTGGCCAGTCAGTATGTAAGTTGGTTAGTCTGTCATTCGGTTGTTGGTTGGTCAGACTGTTACTACATGCGTCATTTGGTTGTAGGTCGATCAGTTGGTCAATCAGTGCGCCAGTAAACCTTAAGGTGTCTGCAAGACAGAACATTTCCCATTGAACTATTTTTGTATACTGTATTTTGTCAGATTCCCTCAGAGGGTTTTCCAGAGAACAGCGTGAGCTACCAAACAACCAAACATCTAGAAGTTATTGGATCGGGTGGTTTGACATTTAACGAGACCAAATCACGTTCAGTCAAGTTCGTCAAGAAGGGAGTTACGATTTATGTCCAAACCGACAAAGGCATTTATAAACCTGGACAAACAGGCAAGTTTTGTTGAAGCCTTTTCTGACAAGGTTGCAGGCCTTAAAATATCTTTTCCAGGGCTGTCTGACAAAATGTCCGGTGACGTTGAGTTTGGGTCGGACATATGTCCGATGACCTTCAGTTCAGTTTTGACTCGGAAATAAGTCTGAATGGCACAAATGAATATCAGCACAATGTATTAATTCTGAACGGTAAATGTTGTGAAGATATTAAATAATTTGTCTCATATCATTCATACTTATTTCCAAGCCAAAATCAACTTGCTTGCAAGAACAGCAGTAAGACTTCGACAACTTTTAAATCGGGCTTAAAAGCCCGTTTTCCACTTCACCATTTCGTTCGCACGTCGCCGCCCCGTGCTCGATTAGCTACGTTAAAAAACATTTCCAGTTCACTTTTTATGCAATACTCAATAGTCCTCCCTCTGATTTTCCATTTGACATACGAGCCTTACTCCTGATTGATTTACGTTGGACAAAGCTACAGTTTGGTCGGACACCAACACACTCGAGTCGGACAAACAGTAAACCTAAGTTTCACTTACGTCGGACAGAATGTCCGGTGGCTTTCTCTCTACGTCGGACAATTTCACGAATGGGTTGGACAATGTCCATGACCGACCGATATTTTAAGGCCTGAGGCTGACAGGTTATATTGTCTGGAAAAAAGACGAAGGATTGAAATGATTTAATTAATCGAACCAAAATAGCCCATCACAACACAAAAATATTTTTAATGCATAATTTTAATCTTAAATTATTTTCTACGCAGTTCACATGAGAATTGTTGCTGTGTATCCATCTTTGAAAGTTCACACTGGAAAGGTATGTACTACTATTTCTGACAACAGATAATGTCATTTCATTTTGTTGTAATGCACCGTTTCGATAATTACGTTACAACTACACTGTTTTCAACTTAGGACCACCTTAAATGGAAAGGATTTCAAGTTTTTTTCGCATGGGCTTTGCACAGAAAAGCAGAACATCCTTTCTCAAGTTCTGCTTCTCTGTGCATAGCCTATGAGAAAAGAACTTGAAATCCTTTCCATTTAAGGTGGTCCTATGTTGAAAACAGTGTAGTTGTGACATAATTATCGAAAGGGTGTATTGATATAAAATTATTTATTTTTTTATTTTTATACTTTATATAGATGACACTTACCATATCAGTAAGTAAAATTTTATAAGAATAATAAAATCTTACTAATCCTACTTTGTTATTTTACTCTGTTTAACCTCACTCCTCAGACGATTATTGGACCTATTACCTAATGAACAAAATTTTGATCTAGACAAGTCTAGACAAACATTTCATCACGGCTTGAAAGAGCATCACAAAATTAGAAATATTCCGAAGTTTCGTTGCGAAATGTTGTAAAATGCGGATAATATAGCCCTGCGATGTTTGCCGTTTTTCAGTCATTTTGTATTACGCACGGGAAATTGATACCTTTTTTCAGAAAGCGGTATCAATTTCCCGCGCGTAATACAAAATGACTGAAAAACGGCAAACTTCGCAGGGCTATAATATCCGCATTTCACAACATTTCGCAACGAAACTTCGGAATATTACTAATTTTGTGATGCTCTTTCAAGCTGTGGTGAAATTTTTGTCTAGGCTTGTCGAGATCAAAATTTTGGTTATTAGGGAATAGGTCCATAGGGAGCTATGCAAGCAAGGGAGTCGTTTTTGTCAAGACGGACTGGATTAAACTACTGTGTTTGTGTCAGTTTGTGGTAATCTTCAACGCATATGACAAAACATAAGATTTTTAAAGTTTTTTGCTTCCTTGCACGAGGGCTCTGATGCAAAATGCCGTCAGAATTTGTTATACCAATGGGTGATTCTAGCTAGAGACTAAATTTTGATCAAAGCAAGAAGAACGAAATCCAACACCACAGCTAGAAAGAGCGTCTTAGAATGAGTAAAACTGCAAAGATTGGTTGCTAAATGTTGTAAAATGAAGAAAATATAGCCCTGTGAAGTTCGCAAATTTTGTATATATTTGTATTACGCGCGGGAAAATAACCACTTTCGGCTCAAAAAATGGTTATTTTTCCCGCGCGTAATGCAAATATATACAAAATTTGCGAACTTCACAGCGCTATATTGTCTTCATTCTACGACAATTCGCAACCAAACTTTGCAATTGCACTCAATTTAAGATGCTCTTTCCAGCTATGGTAATGGTTTCGTCGTTCTTGTCTAGATCAAGATTTCGCCTATGCCTGGAATCATCAATTTTCGGGTGACAAAAACGTCGCTTTGGTTAAATTCAGTAGTATAATTAGACTAAATTGAAAGTAAGCGAATACTGTGAATGTGTTTTTGTTCCAACGTACTTGTAGGATCCCAAGAATAATAAACTTGCCATGTGGAAAGACGAGAACACCGCTTCAGGTGAAATTTTTATTCTTTTCAATGTTGTTCATCCAAAATTTCGAATCATCACAACTTCAATACTAAATACTATTTGACACAGGTGTGGTTTCGAAAGATTTTGAATTGTCATCTCAACCTAACATTGGCAAGTGGAAAATTTCAGTTGATATTGAGGTACAATTCAACGCTTGGTCTATTAAATTGATGCAATGCCAATGAATTGTAATATTGAAAGACGATGAACTCCATGGATATCAGTGTTAAACTGTTCTTCCTAGAGGTCCAGTAAGGATCATCTCTTATTGATCCAGTGTTACTATAGGAGGAAACCTAAACTAAACTAACTTTATTTACAGTATACTAGATAGCTCTATCAGTTCTAAACTGTTCTTCCTAAAGGTTCAGTAAGGATCATCTCTTATTGATCCAGTGTTACTACAGGAGGAAACCTAAACTAAACTATAAACTTGTGCAATTTTCTGTAGTCTAAAGTTTCATGTTCTCTGCACATGTAGTTTCTTTGGAGACACCAACTTGCCTCCTGACAAATCGCATCAAGATAGTGACTCTGATTGATTTACATATTGTATTGATATATATGACTGTTGGCATTGCTTTTTAGTCTTACATACAGTATATGAGTGAGTCATTTTTTGGAAATGACAATGTTATTTTTTATTACTCAACCCTTGACTCTTGAGTTGTTTTGTTTTTCATTTACCCAACCTGTTACTCACTCAAAATTTTGTTTACCCAACCCTTTTCTCTTCGGTTTCCCCCCCCCCCTGCCATAAATAATGACCCGTCCCTAAACCACTACTCTATCAACACTCTCTAGGGTCAAACGAAAGAAACGACATTTGAAGTCAAGGAATATGGTAATTATTTGAATTCTGGATGGAGTATATAAATTATAATTCCTTCATGAAGAAAATGCGAAAACGTAATTGTTTCTTTTAGTTCTTCCGAAGTTTGAAGTGAAAATTGTGGCGAACAGCTACGCTTCGAAGGGAAACGGTGAAATACGGGGAACTGTTACAGCAAAGTAAGAAAAATAGTTAGTAGCAAATGATAGTGAATGGCAGAAATTTTGATACTTATAGAAGAAAATTAACCAATAATATTTCTTTTCCAGATACACCTACGGAAAAAATGTTGAAGGCAAAGCAAAACTGTCCGCTTATTTTCCATGTTATAGCCGTGAGTGTGAGAAATATGAATTGAATTTTGAAGTAAGTGAACAACTAGGTATAGTTGTAGACTATTCTCTTAAATGTATAAAAATGTATACTTGACCTTTTAAATAGTTCTATCAGTTCCGCGAACTGTTCTCCTTAGAGGTCCAGGAAGGGTTTTTGCAGAAAATTAGAAACAATAGGGACCATTTCCCTTGACAAGTTTTGTTGCACAGAATGTTGTTAAATTCACTCATGATAAGGCCGCCTTTTGTTTGTCAAAACCATAGAAGTATTTCTTGCACACTTGACAAGTTTTTCTGGACGGCCGTACACACGAACAAATTTTCCTTGTTCAAAAGCTGACATGACTAACTTTGAAACAAGGTTCCTAGGCATGGCAAATTTATCAATTTTTTTCCGTACCCATGAGCAAATAAAACTTGCTCATCAGCCATCTGTACAAAGCTTTGAATAAGATTTATTCTAAATATTCAATAGTAAAAATTTAGTTCTACAATATTATGTAAAATTTAAAAGTTAAAAGATAAATTGTCGCTATAAAAAGGTATTCTTGTTCCACGTAGGCATAACAGGGCTGACCTAATGGACCTTTCCCCTTATAACTAAAATTTCGATCTAGACAAAAATTTCATCACAGCTTGAAAGAGCATCACAAAATTAGTAATATTCCAAAGTTTCGTTGCGAAATGTTGTAAAATGCGGATAATATAGCCTTGCGAAGTTTGCCGTTTTTCAGTCATTTTGTATTACAAATGGGAAATTGACATCCGATTCGGGTGTTGGGGCTGCAATTTCCCGAAAACTTCGCAAGGCTCTCTTTTCCTCATTTTTCCTCATGTTATAAGCCCTCTTCTTTTCCGTTTCATGTCGATGTAAGATATTCTCGATTGGTTGGGATTTGTTTGACGTGGCATTTACGTGTGCAACTCTAACGTCAAAAAATGCACATTGGCCTTGCCTATAATCCTATATATTATATCGAGATGAGCGAAAGTTTAGAGTATACATTTACTTTATAAAATATATAACGTTTGTACTATAATTTTTCAGATGGATGGCAGTCATTCATTTGTAATATCGAAAGAAAGAATCACAAAATTATACCCTTACTCCTATGGTGACCCGTATAGCAATAATTATGGCTACCAAGTTGTCCTAAATGCATCAGTGACAGAGAAACTTACGCAAAAAACATATTTTGGCGAGGCTACCGTTAAGACATACAAAAGTGCCGTTGCTCTCAAATACGCCGAATCTAATCCTAAAGCTTATAAAGCCGGCTTTCCATTCCAAGCGCTGGTAAGTAAGTTTTTACCATGCAGGGTCGTCCCTCTTGGGGTCGAGAGAAGACCGTACTAGTAGCTGTACGTTCACTTGATCTGCTAAAAGCTAGCAGATGTTCTATGGACGATTCCCGAGCTATTATATATGCTAAATTTTTATCTAGGCAAGAATAACGAAATCCATCACCATAGCTAGATAGAGCGTCTTAAAATTAGTAAGATTGCAAAGTCTGATTGCGAAATGTTGTAGAATGAGGAAGATATACATGTAGCCCTGCGAAATTTGCAAATGTTGTATTAATTTGCGTTATACGCGCGGGAAAATGCACTACATTTGGGCCGAAAGTGGTGCATTTTCCCGTGCGTAATACAAAATAATACAAAATTTGCAAATTTCGCAGGGCTATATTTTCCGCATTTTACAACATTTCGCAACCAAACTTTGCAATTGTACTAATTTTAACATGCTCTTTCTGGCTGTGGTGATATATTTAAATAATTTACTAAGAATATTATACCCACATTCAAAGAACATCTTTCAGAGGAAGGTATGAGAACCGCTTATGATTCGCTGTGATGAATCTATTACAAACAATTGCAAAAGTGTACCGAAATTTAAGAATGTCGTGGTAATATATTATGCCTTGACGGAAAAATAACAATATCCAATCTTTTTCTTTCCCAATAACCATAACCGTTGAAATAAATTACCTCCTTTGGGTTGGTGGAGGATTTACAGTATTGTTTTAATTTTTCCCAGATCGAAGTAACTCGTCCTGATGGCAGCCCAGTGCCTAATATTCTTGTGTCAGTCTCATCCACAACGTACCCCGGTAGTCAAGAGTTATCTAAAGCCTACACAAGCGATGAAAATGGTTATGTTATCTTCCAACGAACGATTGGAGAAGATGTGACCAGCTTAAATATCAATGTAGGTCTTTATTATGAACTGAAAGTGTTTATCTAAACGTATACAAAAATTATTTCACACACAGCTACAGTATATTGTAGGAGCTGCTGCCGTTTCGCATTTAATAGCCAACACAACTAAAAATATTTACATACAACAACATAATTATCTTAGAAAACCCCACAACCAGCTCTGAATTCCAGGTCTTAAAAGAAAAACAACATATTATACTTTTAAGTATTCAACAACATAGCAGCAACAAAATGCGCTTCCCCAACCTGCACCGCCCGATTATATTAATCCATCCCCCAGCAGTGTGTGAGAAAACATTGTCAAACTATTCTGTCACCAACACCGCCTTAGATATTCCGAATCAGGGTGGGAGAATGATACAGTAAATGAACGAGAAGAAACTACTCCACATGCAGTAATCTTTAAGAACTAATTTGTTAAATCTGCGTTCTTCTTAGGCAAAAGCTAAGGATGAGTTTGGAGAAGAAGTCACTTTATTCAGACGTGTCTCTAAATTCAGGTCTGATAGCGAAACATACTTGACCGTGACGGCTGATAAATATGAAGTCGAGGTAAAGACGATGATATTGTTGTTGTTGTTGTTGTTGTTGCTGCTTCTGTTCCTGCTGTTGTTGTTGTCGTTGTCGCTGCCGTCACCGCAGTCGCCGTTGTCATTGTTGTCGTTATACTTGTAGCCACATGGCATAATTATATATAGTCTAGGACCTGTATATGAGTTTGTATGCGATTCATTTAGGACAGGTAATCTCAACTGTTTTAGGGTAAAATGACCATGGCGGTCAACATGGCATATGTGCGAAAACCTGAATCCGGGACGAAAGTCCTGAAAATGACCCCGCCCTGAAACGACAGTGTCGACATAGCTCTAACTTCCAAAAAGGAAAAGTGATAGCCTTTCTGAAGTGCTTATAGTGTTTAGAAGGGTTGCTTTTAGGGGTGGTCATTGAAGGAAAAATTTGTCGAAGTATAATATTTTACCAGAAAATGACTATGCACCACCCCAGGTAAATTGCTGATTATGCACAAAATAACTAATATGCCTGGCAGAAATTTAATATTCTTATTTCCTAAAAAAAATTATTATGGGGTGAAAAACTATGCTTAATTTAATATAAATATTGTTGATTTCATAAGGATTGTCATTGTTTTCTTTAAATATAATACATTTTATTTCACTTACCCCCCACGAAAACACGATTTCAGCCATATTTTGCCGTCTTGTTTGCTTTTTATCGCCGAATCTCGCAAATATCATCCAGTTATTGTACTTTTACATAATTATAAATGGCTGAAGAAGATTTCAAAGAAGGTTTCATCCACTTTTGTAACAGTGCAGTGTATTTTATCTTCGATATTGTGTCCTTCGATATTTTGTTAAATTGCCGCCATTTTAATGGCTCGTCGCTTCTCTGCCCGATAAATGCCACTTCTTCGTTTTCATATGTATTTAGATTACATTATCCAAGAGTACTTCCTTGTAGAATAGTACCAATCCAAAAATTGAAAATATTATTGGTACTTGGGAAGAAAAAACCTCCCATAATAGTTGTCCTGTTTGAATTCAAAAGAAATAATTTAAAAGTCACGCGCAAGTTCGCGAAAACACCTCGTGGGTTACATAACAGGGGGGAGTGAATATTTTCACGAAACGTTTGTTCGCCACCACAGCAACCTAACTAAATA